CGCACACACCGCGCCGGGGGGGTCCGGCGCCCCCCCCGCCTCCCGCCACGTGCGCAAGGACCTCCAAAAATAACCCGTCACTGGTTATCAGCCATCACTGCAGCTGATCATAGAATCACTGAATGGGTTAGGTTGGAAAAGACCTTTAAGAGCATCGAGTCCAACCGTTAATGGCAGCATCTCTCGGACTCCTCGCAGGCGGCAGAGGGGGGAAGGAGGAGGAGGAGGAGGAGCCGGGGCGCAGCAAAGCACTTCACACCCAGCCGAAGGCCCGGCCTGCAGGGAGGGCAGCTCCTCTCCCGCCCCAGATGACCAGAGCCGATTCGGCTGCTCGGCAAGCACAGCTGAGCGGACACGCTTTGATTTGCCGTCCTCTGCACGAAAGGGCATTTGTCCCCAACCTACAAACACAGGCACACGCAGAGGACACCTATTACAGGACATTTCTCCACGAGTTCAGATTTGTGCTCCAGCCATCCGTGCCCGGTGTGCCGGGCGTCCCTTGCTCTCGCCCAGAGCCGCCGTGCCAGCCTGCAGTGCAGCACCGCTGCCTGCATCTGATTCACGCCAGTGAATTAGATGCAGTCCCACAGGGGACTGGCAGCCACGAGAGTAGTCCGAGAGAGTCCCAACTTAAACGTTGGCTAAGAACATCCACAGAGCAGCTCGAGCTAGAGGTTAGGGACCCATGCTGCTCAACTCCCTCTGCAGCATTCAAGCTCAACGTTTCAGTGCCCAGGGAAACTACTATTGGCACCTCCAACAAAACAGACTGTAAAGCCCAGATCAGCAACCGCTACGGAACCGAAAGCCAGGACAAGAGAGGTGTGTGGGAAAAAAAGCAGAGTTGGAAGTGTAAAGAGAAAGCTTTTTTCCTGTCGGGGTTTGATACACAGAAGTAATTCCCGGCTCCTCCCACAATCCACATAATCTCCTACGGGAACAACAACAAAATAACTGGGTAGACTGCAAATTTTGATCTGGTTTACAAATTTGGAAAGATGGAGAGCAGGGAGAGAATCCGCTTCAAAGCCACAGTAAGGAGAAAGCAATGGAAGCAGTCTAACTTCCAGAACAGCAGCTTTTCATTTTTTCATCAAGAGATGTCACTTGCAAGAGCTGAAAGATACAGATATTCAGCAGCAAATGAAGTTTACAATGGATGAAATGCACAGAGATTTCTCCCCCCCTAAAAAAAAACAAGGGCCCAAAATCCTACACGTGGTGGTAGGATCACTATATGCTCTTTGGTATGAACAACGGCCTAAAAATTCTCACAGGATAGAGCTCTGCCTACCTCTTTCCAATGCAGGACTATCTCTTCAACTACATGCTGGCAAGCCAAATCCTGGATATTTCCCTACTGCTACTAAAGCTACTGCTTCCCTCTTGATCCTTTTGATCCCTGCAAGCAATTTTACTTTACTTGAACGTCACTGCTGCCCAGGAACTGAAGCACTACTCGCTATGAATTTTCACGATCAAAAGTATTCTGGTGACACCCATAAGACAACTTCCAAAAAATTACAGTTATTACTTCCCTCTGCCTGTAGCTCTGGTAAAAGCCTGCAAGTTCAATCCCATAGGAATTTCAGATGACTGAAGCATTCTATTTCCCCCATGTGTAATAACCACCGCTCTTGTATGTCAGCCGAACACTAACTAAGGTGAAGTCTGTTTCCCCTCCCTTTCCACAAGCATTTGGACCCTATTTGACATTAAAGTTCTTGGCATACTCTTCACTGGGCAGTCTTAAACATCAACACAATATGAATAGCAGCAAATACCTCGTTAAAACCGAAATACGAATTTTAATCCAGACCAGCTCTTATTGACATGATTTATTAAAAAAGAGAGAACAGGCATCCAAAAATTGTAGACAATAGAGAAATAAACTCTCCTCTCAACATCTGACTTCGTATTTTTCAAAGGGCGAAGCTTACTAGACTGAAATTGTTAGGACCGCCCTTCACAAAGACCAGCACCACATTTATTCTCCTTGCTTTCAGAGAGCAGTGCTGTAACAGCACCATGCCTCTTCAACTCTTTACTGCTTTAAGAAAACAATTTGATAAACATGTCAAGTAATACAGAACCCTTTAAACGCATACAATTTACCCTGAAGTGTTCCTCTTCCTCCAAATCAGCTCCGTACAGCACGCTATTCAGCACTTCCCAGTCAGCTATCTAGTATTTCTTCATCAAGAGTCTTGAAAAATAAAGGTAACAAGAAGTACTATGGAAGGAGAGTGAGGCTTTGTTACCATTTCCCTGGACATAATCAAGGGAAGCACTACAGCAAGCAAAACTTCTGTGAAGCAGCAACGGGCTACACATACTGCTCAGCAGCAGCAAGACGCCAACTCTTGAAGTAGCAGTTACTCCATCGGGTATCAAATACAGGTTCAAATTCTGCTAGAGAAGGTACAAAATGTAGCTATGCTTAAGTTGGAGAGGGGCAGGGTGTCCCCACATGAGGGAATATTCCAGCGCTGTGACCAAGCCTAGAAGAAAGCCAACAACGCGGGAGGGAGGTCAGGAGGGTGGGTTAGCCTGGGCTACAGACAGGCGGGCAGCTGGGTGTGTGTATGTACTGCCGGGCAGAGACCCGGCCTCCCCAGGGAGAAGTGCCAGCTCAGGGAAAGGAAGCATCAGGCAACATATATCCAGGATACTGCAGAATTAACGCCGTAATTCTCCTCCTGTGGGAGACAGCTTTCTAAAATGCCTTTCCCTCAGACTTTCATTTTCAGGTTGCTGAATTGAATCTCCCTAATCACTGATTTACAGCTGCAATGTCTAAATAGCATGTGTTTTTCCTTCAGTGCTTTAAAGACCTATTCCAAGGTGAATTCACTAAGTTCCTACCAAATTATTTGGTCCCTTTTTGTACTAACCACTTGAGCTATCAGCAAACACAGCTGGAATAACTGAGGAACCTATATAGTCAGCTGAAGTCACTATCCACTTTTCACTGTAAATGCAGATTCTTTAGTCCTCCCATAACGAAACCTCACCAGTCCCTTGTTTCTGATGTTCTTCTGTACTAGCAGAAACATCCATTTCCTTTCTTGGCTCTCCCCACCCTTGCCCTCTACCTAACCAATACCTTTGTAAGTAAATCATTGCCAGCTGCCTCGAGTTACGTAGCTGAGGCCCAGGCTAGTGTCCTCCGTGTATTTTATTTATAGGAAGGTATGAAATCTAGAAAGTAAGTAGTAGATCAAAACATGGCCTTTATTCACCCATACTTACGTGTCCTACTTGCTGGGTTATAAAACTGTCATCACCTTAATACAAAAAACAATTAGAATCTGTATATTGCTCCCTCTGTAACTCATTAGGTGCCCAAACACTTAAAAACTTACTCAGTTCTTCTGCTACTTTAGAACTTCTGCCAATATGTTTCTGAATTTTGCTTCAACTCTATTCATGCTGCAGTTTTCCCTATTTTTCTTATTTCTAGAGTTAACTTCAATACTACCTCCTTCGTAAGAAAACAGTTTCTCATTTGCAATCAGTTTATCAAGCTACCCTCTCCCTTCTCTAAACAGGCTTGCGTCCACTAGCATCTGCGAAGATGGCTCTCCTGAGCTTTAGTCCTCGCTACAGGATGGTTGGGGAACTCTGCAGAGTGAAGACAGCACTAATGGCTGTCAGCAAAGCAAAGCCTCCCTTCAAAACTCTCCCATATTAAGTTGAACTAATTTTGAACTCAAGAGATTGGATATCCCACCTACATCAGCAGGCACCGTCACCTGACCACAGAGGGGGGACACCAATTCTCACAGGATCTGCAGCCACCTCCTAAACAATCTAGGGTTCCACTGGTTGGTCCCCGATGCGACCTCACTCAGGCTAGATACCAAAACAACACATTAGCACATATGCTTACTTCCACAAGTCTGGAGAAATAAATAAATAAACAAACCAATCTTCACAGCACAGCACTCTACTTCTGACACTACTTCTCAATGCAAACTACAGTAAATGGAATTTTTTCACCATTCTTCAAGCCGTCTTCTGCTCTGATTGTCACATTTCCTATTCCAGCAAAAAGGAGAATCTTGTCTTGTTCACCTCTTCTAGGAAGAGTTGCCTCTGGCATCTCAACTTGTTACACTCTCTGCTTTCAGCATCTTTTACTGTAATTCAGTTTCTCTCCTTCTCCTCAGTCACCCCACCCACAAAGCGACTTTAATCCCTGTAAGCGATTGCCTACACACTAGCAGATACACATTCCCTGCATACTACAAGGTACACTACCCTTTGTGCACAAGTACGCTCCTGGAAAACAGAAGACCAACAGCTTGAGGGAAGAGTTAAGATTTTTTTTTTTCCTCTTTTCACAAGACTACAGTCTGGCTTCAGGTTTTGAAGCCTCCAGGACTAACAAAAGCAAAAAATACTTGTTCCAATTTGTTGAGAAGTCAAATTCGCAAGACTCCTCTACCCAACCCCCTTCTGCCTTTGAAGGCAAACTTGTTAGTTTCCAAGTGTGTTTCCAAACACACTACGTTTAACTACAGCATGAAAGGAGCAAGGCATATAGCATCTATCCTTCAAAAAAAAATAATCACATCTGTTCTGCTAAGACAGATCTCCTAGGTAGAAAAGACATTCAGCAAAATCAGTCTGCAACACTTCTCTTTATTATGAGTGATCGGTACACACACACATAGATAAATCTTCTATAAACATACCTTCTAGCTCAGCTTGCAGAAGAAAGATCTCAACAAGAAAAAAGACAACATCACTTCACAGGGTATCCATTTCCAGATACAGGAATTTTTCTATCATCCTTTCAATCTCCTCTTTGCCACACAACTCAATTATTTTGTAACACTGAAATGACTGAGACAAGCAACTTCAGATCCCTTAAACTTATTACAGCTTCAACTCCAGTGAAGTATTTTCTATTAATAAAAGGAAGAAGGGTAGATCGAGACACTAACCTCTGGCCGACAGTTTTTTGGTGTTGATGATTTTTGCAGCATATTCCTGTGATGAACTTTTCTTTACACATCTGCGGACCACGGAGAAGGCTCCCCTAGAAGAAAAACAAAGAGGGTAGGAGCTATGAAACTGAGAATGAGAATACAATAGCAGCAATATCTATCCCCAGAGTGGACCGGATTAAGGACAGGGCAGAAGACATACAGAGGAGGGAAACAGCCCACGAGAATCTGATGAACAGTGTGTGCTGTCTGATCAGCAAATAAAAGCTAGTCTATATGGTACTCAAGCCTCCTGAAGACCCCCTCAAGCCCCCTCACAGACAGCGCAGTAAGAACAGCACACTGTGCAGGGAGATAGAGACCATACGGGCACAGAAGCAGGACAGGAAGGGATTGAACGGGAAACAAGCAGCCCAGAACGACGCTACAAACACTAGCCGGTAAGTCCATCTCCCCAAGACGGTATCCCCAGCAGTTACATCAGACAACCAGGACTCATTTCTCCCACGTTCAAGCGCCAGCTCGGGCACGAAATTGCTGCAACACTTTGCAGAAGTTACTAGTTCTCTTACATCTGTCTACCCACCTGCAAAATGGGGATAAGCATGTACCTATTAATGGAGTAGGAAGCTACGAGGCTTTGTACATTTTCTCAAGCTGGAACTATTGATACTACTACAACTATTCCAAAGAGCCACTCGGAGAAGAGGTCTGAGAGAGAGGGAAGAAGGATATCTGTGAGGAAAAAAAGAGATAATACAACAGAGACCAAGGTGAAAAGATAGGGACTCAAAATCTACAGAACTACACAGATGAGTGCTTGAAAGCAGTCCCTTCTTTTAAAAAGCAAAACCAACAAAACAGGGTGGGAAAGAATAACAACTGGCTTTACAGGAAAGATCTGAAAAGGGGAAAAGGACAAATAAAGAGAAAACTGGCAGAAAATTCCAAGTCCTTCAGACCAGGAACGTAAACCCGCGTCTGTGGACAAATGTACGTATTTAAAGTATAAGAAAGGGGAACAGAAGCTGCACAAGGGCCCCACAAGACAGTCAGCCCTACGGAGAGCCTAAAATAGCTTGAATCCTCCCGATACTGCAGAGTCCTGCCTGTTTCTCCCCTTCCTCAACCTCTACATACAAACCAATAAGCAGCAAGGTGAGCACCAGCACTGGGGCCCAGGCTTGGTGACACACAGCTGCAGCAGTGTGGGGAGGGACGGGGACACTGTGCTGGAGAGAAGAGATGCAGCAGAGCCCAGCAGTTGGTGCAGGAAGGGAGGGAGGGGTGAGCAGCAGCACCCAGGAAAGCACTGTCCCCATCATCCTGCCCCGGCCGTCTCTACGCTGCCCCACAGGGTCCCCCTGCAAAGCCCTGTCCTAGGGTGCAGCAGCAGGTCTGCCCAGGAACGTAAACCTGCGTCTGTGGACAAATGTACATATTTAAAGTATAAGAAAGGGGAACAGAAGCTGCACAAGGGCCCCACAAGACAGTCAGCCCTACGGAGAGCCTAAAATAGCTTGAATCCTCCCGATACTGCAGAGTCCTGCCTGTTTCTCCCCTTCCTCAACCTCTACATACAAACCAATAAGCAGCAAGGTGAGCACCAGCACTGGGGCCCAGGCTTGGTGACACACAGCTGCAGCAGTGTGGGGAGGGACGGGGACACTGTGCTGGAGAGAAGAGATGCAGCAGAGCCCAGCAGTTGGTGCAGGAAGGGAGGGAGGGGTGAGCAGCAGCACCCAGGAAAGCACCGTCCCCATCATCCTGCCCCGGCCGTCTCTACGCTGCCCCACAGGGTTCCCCTGCAAAGCCCTGTCCTAGGGTGCAGCAGCAGGTCTGCCAATGCAGAGACAAGTGCGGAGAGAAGGAGGGAGGAAAGGAGAGAGGGAGAGAGAAGCGCGGTGCAGCAGCACCTGGTCCTTTCACAGGGACGAGGAAGTGGGGACCGAAGCGTCGCGGAGCGGCAGTAACAGTGCCGCGTCCCAGCGCAGACACAGTTGAAGGGAACGGCAACGTGCAGCAGGGGGACGGTGCGGGCAGGAGAAGGCGGCAGCCCGGTCCCGAGGAGGGCAGGGGGGGAAGAGAGGAAGTCCCGGGGTGCAACAGGAGCGCGCAGCCCCAGGCGGGCGGCGGGGACACCCCATCCAGCGGCGGCGACGACCCCGGGGCGCAGAAACACTTTTCCCTCCGGCGGCGATGCCGCTGGGGCGGACGCGGGGCTGGAGAGCGGGATTACAG